ATTTATGTAAATTAGTAACAATAGTGGTCCTAAAATTGAACCCTGCGGTACCCCACTATGAACGCAGGCCCACTGTGACATTGGACATACAGAGCTAAACACTGCAGCACATTCCCTTTGCAACAGATATATTTAATTCAGAATTAAAATCTCAAAAGTGAAAGTGTGCGAGAAAGCTTAGATACAGATATCTGCAAAAACAGCCAAGTATGTAAGCCATGTATAGCTGCAAATCGGAAAGTATAAGACTGTGACACCTGCATTTAGAAATGTAAATATAAATGTGACAGAGCTGCTCGATTATGGCAAAAATCATAATCACAATTATGTTGGCTAACATGGGGATCACGATTATTTCCCACAATTATTCTTGACAGCAGAAACATTATATTTATTGCATCCTAATAATGTAACATATACTTACATTGAAATTGAACTGAAACAAAAATACAAATTTTAATAACACACGAACTTGTACAAATATATTTATTTAATGAATAAACTATAAATTATACTGAGATGAACTGTTCTCTGAGGTTCAAAAACACTAAACTTGATTTTTTTCCAGCTATACATATTAGAGTCCACTGCTTAGTCCACTGATATAAAAAGTGCAACTTAAGATTTTTAGCAAGAAAAACTAGTCTGTTTACATGATCTGGCTTCAGTCATGCACGATGGCAGGAGACGTTATTTCCAACTGTGCTGAAGACCCTCTTGTTTGCTAAATAATATGTGATGGCAACTGTTATCTTGGTGTTACTGAGAACTTGACAGATACACAGTTGCATTATACAGGGTTCCCCCAATTCTGGCAGAATAAATTTCCATGACTTTTCCAGTACCATAAGAAAAATTTCCAAAACCCATAAGTTTGTAAAACTAAAGTAGATAGAACAGTATTTGTATAAGGTAGTTAATTATTGACTTCCGCTCGTAAATTTTTGTTGCAGATAGAAGCGGGAAACAAAAATGAACAAGGCTAGTTTCCAAAACTTTTCCTCTCTATCCAAGAATTCCAAAACTTAACCAGGGCCTGGAAAAATTATTTCAAAATTACAAAACGTTTTCAGGTTTTCCATGACCGTAGGTACCCTGATTATAGAGGGTGTCTAACAGATAACTGCATTGCAGTACGAGTTGATGAGTTTCCCTTTATGATTATGCTTTAAGAAGTTAAATAAATTGGTTGTGTTGCCTTGTGGTGCAGACACAGCTTTCAAACATATTCTGCAAATTATTTGTTATTCTTGGTCTGATTCGTTGAAACCAAAATGATTCCAAATAACTGATGCATGTTTACTTTTTGTTGACCAAAGGTCCCGTCCGGCTATTTCGACTTGTGAATGCATTTTCATTGTTGTGCTGTAGGGAATACACTAAAAGTGCTCAGGGAGGGGCAAAGCGCACCACTAAAAAATTAGTGCACTGATCTAGTTATTGCGCAAGATACAGTAGGGAATCATTTCAACATGATACAAACAAATATAATTTCTCGATAATTTTTTCATAATTGTGGGAAGCCATAATTGTAATCGTGATTCAAATTCAATTAATTGCACAGCTCTAATATGACATTCATATGCAGATGATAAAGTACATGTATGAGAATTCCTTGCTGTGGCAAAGCTGTACCGAGCACAGAGGAGGGACTCACGGGTAGCCCAAGAACAACAAGTTCAGCACTGAGTGTTTGCTGAAGAGGTTCACGAGAGTCCAGCACAGAAGCCAGCCGCAGAATGTAAGCAGGGTCAGCCGGGCGGCGATCAGAATCATGTACTGGAGCAGGGAGCTGGAGCTTGTGTGGAACGCCTGTCAGAACAGTGAAGTGCCCACATAAATTCATGCACTACTCCAGTTGTTCAAACAATTTAATCCAGATCAAAGTCATTTGGATTTTGAAATCCCTTGTTTTGTTATCCAGGATTTGGTAATCCATTTTACTTTTATGCCAGTTTTTCAAAGCAACACTGGATTGGATCACTGTTATCCAAATGTAGAATTTTCAGGATTACCAAATCCGGTTTACTAGTGCATTAAATGGAACCAACAGTGTAGCCTACTGGCTATGTCAAGAACAACAGGTACACCTAAAATACCAGTGGCCACAAATAGCCATTGTGTTTTAATTTGAACAAACAGAAAACACCACATTAAACCAGAGCAACCTCCAATGTTCCATCAAAATGAGGGACAGACTGGACATGTAGTCAGGGATGCAATTGTAAGACATTACTTCTGACTGGTGAATTGAATAATAGTAATTATTGTCATTTTCATTAAAATGGACAGTAGAGCTTTTTATTTTGAGGTTTGAGATTTTGAGTACAGATATCTCATGGGAATTTTTTTCCCTTGACTATACCGAAAGGCTTCATGTTTTATTTCCTACTTTATTTATTTTCACTGCCACTGTCCTAGTTCATCAATTGTACAAAATATAAATAAATGTATATATATCATCAGAAAACTGCATTTTTGTTCAATTTTCAAGTTTTATTTAATTTTGTGCCAGAAATACACCCTTGAATCCACCCTTGTGTTGGGATCAGGATTATCCTGATTTTTTTGGATCAAATGTATCCCAATTCAAACACAAACTTTTGAACACCACAAATTGATGGTTTTATCCAGATTAAAACTGAGATTGGATTAGGTGATTTGATCTGATTTCAGAATCCATCTTTTCCCTTTGAAACAAACCATTTTCGAGATTCAATCCGTTATCTGAAATCCCACTGGATTACTTTTGAACAACTGGGCCCAGAAGACACCCATCTATGCAAACCAAAGGACCAAAACAAGAACATAAAAAATTTACAAACGAGAGGGGGCCATTCAGCCCATCAAGCTCATTTGGGGAGAACTTAACTAATAGCTCAGATTCGTTAAAATCTTATCTAGCTCTGATTTAAAGGAACCCAGGGTTTTAGCTTCCGCTACACTAGAAATAGAAACATTTAAAAACTCAAGACAGATGCAGAATAACAGGCTATAAAAGAGGGGGACAGTTAGACTGGGTTGGAAAGGGTAAAAGGAATAGGAGGAAATCTGGGTAGAAATTGCAAGTCAGTCACTGTACCTCTGAAATAATAGTCCACACAAGCCTCCTGGCCAGCATAACAGTAATGAAGATCACCAGGTGGTAGTCTATTAGATGAAAGTTCTGCAGACAGAAAAGAAGAGAATTATGAAAGCAAAATATCTATTTATGCGTTTCATGTGTATGTGTTCTGGAAACATCTAGACAGACAACTAGAGTGCACGCCCTCACCAGTGAGGACAAGAGAGCACAGACAGCAAAATCTGTTTGTGTGTGACAGAGGATGATATAGAGAGAGAGAGAGAGAGCACTCTCACCAGTGAGGTAGAGGCACCAGAATGGCTATAAGGATACCACCAGACAGTTTTGTAGATATTAATGTACTGCACAAACAGCACCACCAGCAGGTACAAAAAGAGCATAAACTCAAAGAGCACACTGCTGTCGATGGGAAGTTCAGGAATGCGTGCATGGCGAACGGGTTCTGGGCTGATCAGCGCAGTGAGTGGTGGAGCAGAGAGACCCACAGATGTGCTGCTCCTGCAGGGGCAACACAGACATTGGAATTCACTCAGGGAATCACCATGGAAAAGCAGGTCTGACAAAACCTGGAACCACTTGCTATAACCTATTGAGATCCTGAGAAAAAACTTTTATATTGATTAAAATTTTAATTTGACCGGAAAAGAAAACTGGCAAGGTCACACCCCCATACATGTGATGTCATCTACCTTTCCACTTTAAGGACAGGACTTAAAAGGCTAGCATGTACAATTTAAGAGATATGAACATAAACATAATGGACAAAATGAAGTGCTGGGTCTCAGGAGGATATAGGGATCTACAGACAGTGCCCTCCCTATACAAGGATGTGGTAGTGGTGGTTGGGGCTCACCTGTTCCTGAGCCCCGCACCGTTGCTGCAGCTGCTCCCCACCAGAGTCTGTGGTGAGGGCAGGGCCGAGCGGCTCAGCTGCTGTCTACTCGGACCCCTGCGACCGCCGGGCATGTCCAGTGACCCCAGCTGCTCCCCGTGGCAACCTCAGGGCTGCTGCTGCACTGCAACATAACAGCAGCATTACAGCCACTCCGTAACATCACAAACAAAAATCTTACTGCACAACACTATAATCACACCTTACCAAGACCATGACACAGTACTGGCAGAAAACCAACAACAGGCCTCAAGCACCATGATACAACAGAAAAAGTGGCAGTAAACAAAGATACACTTCACTTATACCAAGTGCTCAATTTATGTGCCATTAGTATAGGATAGACATGTTTCCATACCTGTATCTCTTCCGCACACACACCCTTACACAATTACAGACTGGCCAGTGTAGCAATTCCTCAGAAGAATTGTTCATTAATATGTCTAGATATATTTATTAAAAGATACACACGATTGCCAATAAGTTCTGACATCTACGAGTCAAAGCAGTCTTACCCAAGGGTATCCATATGTTCTGCTCCTAACCTTATACTGTCAAGAACAGTTTTTCGTTCTAAGTGAATTTGGACTAAACTACATTGAAATAGGGCTGCTCAATCGAAAGAAATGCCACAAAACATAACTTCAACTACTTGTCATCTATTACTATAAAATTTACACAAAAAGAAGAACGATTATGAAAATCAAAATCACACTGCAGTTCGAAGTATTAATTAAGGCGAAGCTATCACTTACACATGAACGGAGAGCGGCTGGTGTAGACGCGGAGACATCAGTCGGTCGTGGGGTCGAGGCCCGCCCGAATCGTCCAACCTGAAAGAAACATCAGTTTAGGTACGCGCTCGGAGCTTGATTTGTATTTCGCGAAATGATTGCACATAAGATACGTGTGCTTTTTGGCACTTGCGTTGATAAGATGAGAATGGCGTATCCTCTCTCTGAATCTATTAATCAGGTAAAGGATAGAAAAAACGTGTAAACCGAATGTGCTAAAAGAGCAAGCTTGTCGCTTCCACAGTGTAACCGACGTGGCATAGCTGAACCCCTTAGATATGTACGTCATAGGCCCGCGACGATCTTTTGAAATGCGCAAGCCCAGTAGGAAACATATCATGTATTCCACACTTCCGGAACGTAATTGTGTTACGTCACTTGAAGCTGATATGGCATATATATAGGCATCACGTTCCTCTGTTGAATGTTTCATTACAGGTCTATAGGCGAATAAGGTTGATCGGATTATTATATATGGTATTATGGTGCAGACATAGTGTTGGTAATAGCCAGTGCTCTCATGTGTCACGCACTTTTTCACCAACTTTATTTAATATATGTACAATCAAACAGGGGCAAATTACTACGTTAAGTAGCCTACAAAATGCCATAATTATCCAGGTTGAACAAACTTTTTGTTCTCCCCTACTGTTTACGGTTATGATATGGTATTCTCTAAATCGAACACGTGGAATTACATTTATAACTATTAATACATTTAAGAAAATAAACATTTTAAATATTTATGAAATAGAATTAAGCCGCCATGTTGAAATGACGTCATAAGGGAAACAAAATTCTGTCCGACATCAACGTTGAACGAAGGCAATTTGGCTCCACTTGTTTTTGCTTTCATTTTAGTGGAATATATATATATATATATATATATATATATATATATATGTGTGTGTGTGTGTGTGTGTGTGTGTGTTTTATGCTTGAATCCACATTTCTGGATCCCGAGTAGTACATCGCGATACCGACTTCTTTCAATACAGGTATTTTTCTTTTAATTAAATATAAAGTTTAAAATAAACAACTACACGGAAGTCCAAAATATATAACAGTAAAAAACTTTTATGGCGACAATTGAAAGACATACGCTCTAAGTACGCGTGCAGCAAATGGGGAAGTAAAATCAATGTTTAAAAAAAAAAAGTGTTGCCTTGATATTTTTGGGCATTAGATGCAAAGTCCTTCCAGGAGAAGGCGCTAACCCTCCGACGAAGTCACTGAAGGAGCATTCAGTTTTGGGAGCCGTTTCTATTTTCAATATCATAGTAGCCTATATATCCTGAATCGATGATGCAATTTCTACCTTATTGGTAATCCAGTTATTTAAAACAAAATAATTTGATTTTATACATTAAAACACAATACCAGTAGGCCTATTTGTGATACTAGGGGTTTAAAACAATAGAAAAATAATATATAAATTTTAAAATACGATATATTCAATTATAATGGGAAACTTAAATACTAGTGACGTATTGTCAGGATGGCCGAGCGGTCTAAGGCGCCAGACTCAAGGTTCAATACCTTCCATAGAAATGGGTGTTCTGGTCTCCGACTGGAGGCGTGGGTTCG